GAGTCCAAAAACATTGAGTGCTGACATTTTTCTTTTGACCAGTGTCTCTTAAGTTTAGTTGTACTGTCTCCAAGGGAAGTTGACGTGTCCTGTAGAACTCCTGTGTAGATTATGTTTTCCTCAGGCCCGCCGGGTTTTGCTGGTTCTCACCTGGAAGACACCTCCTTCTGCTGTTATCCGAGGTGACCTTGCCCAGTGACGCCTCCTGCCCTCCCTCTCTGGCCGAGTTTTGCTGGGTCTGACCTGGAAGACGCCTCCTTTTCCCTTTTTGTCTCTAGTTAGGTTCATTCCTAAGTATTTCAATTTGGGGTTGACTATGGTAAATGGTATTGCTTTCTTAGTTTCCTTATCTGTTTTCTTTGTTACTGTAGAGGATTCCACTGACTTTCATGTATTGATCTTGTATCCTGCCACTCTACTATATTTATTTTCTGTTGTTATTGTTGTTGTTAAGTTGCATCGAGTCATAGACGACTCATAGCAACCCTATGAACGAAAGACCTGAAAACTTGTATGACTTTCATTGTTTCTCCAAGTTCATAGAGTTTCCAGAGGCAAGCTATTTTGGAAGTGGATGCCACTCCTGGATGCCACTCTTGCTTCCAAGCTCGTTTTAATTGGGGAGCTCCACCAAACACTGTCCACCGTGGGTAACCATTATCGCATTTGATACATCAGTGTCACAGTGTTTAGCATTCTAGCAACCATGAGTTACCTCTGTACAGAAAATGGACAGACCAGTGCTTTACCACTTTGAAGAATGTTTGACCAAAAACAGTTAAAATGAGGCCCGAGGGCTGTAGATTAAAATCACCCACCTTTGCCTTGGTAGCATAACTTTCTAGCTACTAGGCCAAAAGAGCTCTCTTGTTGTCGTTGTTGTTATTGTTAAGTGCCATCAAACAGTAGACAACTCATAGTGACCCTATGAATGAAAGACATGAACACATAGCTCTAAGAATTTTTTTGTTGAGCCCTTGGGGTTTTCTGTGTATATTATGTTTTTTGCATACAGTGAGTTTCCCATCTCTTTGCTGATCTGGATGCCTTTTATTTCCTTCTCTTGCATTACGTTAGCAACTCCTTATAATACAATATTGAATAGGAGTGATGATAGTGGACATCCCTCTCTGGTCCCTGTTCTCAAGGAGAATGCTTTTAGCTAGATCACATGGTTCTTATTATCTGTTTTGTTAATGTGATGAATAACACTGGTTGTTTTTCTTATGTTAAACCATCCTTGCATGCCTGTTATAAATTCCACTTGGTCATGATGAATTTTTTTTAATAGGCTGTTAAATTCTATTGGCCAGTATTTTGTTAAGGATTTTTTGATCTATATTTATGTGTCGAATCTGAGACTGGTTACACATGGTGGACAGTGTTTGGTGGAGCTCCCTGATTAAAACAAGCTTGGAAGCAGGAGTGGCATCCACTATTGAAATAGCTTGCCTCTGGAAACCCTATGAACCTGGAGAAAGGAGGGAAGTTATACAAGTGTTCAGGTCTTTTGTTCATAGGGTTATGATCAGTCACCTATGACTCGATGGCACTTAACAACAGAACAACAACATTTATGAGAGATATTGTTTTGTAGTTTTCTTTCTTTGTAATGTCTTTGCCTGGTTTTGGTATTAGGGTTATGCTTGCTTCATACAATGACTCTCTTCCAGTGGATTTTCAGAGGCAAGACGGGAAATTATATGGGAGGAGATTGTCCATCTTTTTGCTGTGGAGCAGCTGGTGGATTCAAAGCGCATACCTTTAGGTTGACAGTGTAGTTCCTTATCACTAGGCCACCAGACAACCCTTACTACCTTTGTTCTCCCAGAAAACATCTAGAAGACAACGTAGGAACCTGACACTCAGGCCCTGCTGGCCAGATCTCACTGCCTTCTTGTAGCTCTTTCTAAAAATCAACCACTGAAAACACAGCTTCTCAGTAACTGGAAGCTCTGTCTGTCTTCCGTAATCTCAGCTTCTTATTTTAACTGGTAGCATCTATACATAAAATCTGTATTGTTAGGTGACACCGAGTTGACTACAACTCATAACAACCCTATGAACAAGGGATCTAAGTCTTTCCCTAACCTATACCATCCTCATGATCTCTGATATCTTTGAGCCCATTGTTATAGTTAATGTGTCAGTCTATCTTGCTGAGAATCTCTCTCTAGTTCTCTGACCTTTTACTTTTCCTAGCATGATGCCTTTTTCCAAGTACTGGACCCTCCTATAACATGTCCAAAGTATGTGAGACAAAATTTCATCTTACTTGACTCTAAAGAGCACCTTGGTTGTACTTCATCCAAGGCAAACTTGATTTTTCTCTTGACAGCCTACAATATAATCAATACTATTCTCCAACACCACAACTCAAAGTTGTCTATTCTTTTGTTATTCTTATTCATTATCCAACTTTTAAATAGATAGAAAGTGACTGAAAACTATGGCTTGGATCAAGTGCACCTTCATCAGTAAACTGGCGTCCTTGCCCATTAAAATTTTGGAAAAGTCTTTGACAGTAGATTTTTCCAGTGCAACACATCTTTTAATTTCTTGACCGTTGATACCAAAGATGTTGATTCTTGGATCAAAGTAACATGAAATTGTTAACAACTTCAATTTTTTTCTCCACCTATCATGATGCTGTCTATTGGCCCAGTGATGAGGATTTTTGTTTTCTTGGTATTGAGATGTAATCCTTATTGAAGGCTGTAGTCTTTGATGTTCTGCAGCAAGAGTTTCAAGTCCTCTTAAGTTTCAGCAAGCAAGGTTGTGTTATTATAACAAATTAAGGCTAACATTGAGAATAGTGGCAGTACATGAATGCACATATTTGGCCAATTTTTCTGAGATAGGAATTGTAACCATAACAATACCAGAAGTAGTCTGTATTTTCTGAGGCTTCTATGTGGCACATCCTATTTATGTCCCCAGGCCCTATGTGGCAGATCTGGGTCATAAGCCAATATGTATGCACTTATGAGCTTAGTGTTTCAGCCTCTTCTGTAGCACACTCAGGCATAGCACAGTGACATCCATCCCACACTTCTGTCCAGGTCACATCTATCCCAAGCTATGAGGTAGATGTGTTAACACAGAACTACCATCCAATCCTGGCTGTTGACCTAACTCCCCCCCACCCCTTTGCTTAAATCTTATCGTAAGCCTTCAGACCTGTGTCTTTATGCTCTAAGACCCTGTGCCATTCTACTCATTGTTTTCTCCTCTGAGAGAGAAGTGAGCTCCTACAGGGGAGTAGGAAGATATTCTGGAAGAAATCAGGATCCTTAGGGAAGTTCTAGCCTACATAACATCTGGCATTCCAAGGCAGGCAGAAGGCAACCCCAATTATCTGAAGGCCTGATGTAGCCTCAACAGGAGGAACAAGCCAGAAAGAGCTCCTGTGCAGACTTTCTCCATCAGGGGAGTGTAGGGCAGACCCTGTGGAAGGTGAAAAAGCCCGTGTCTTTACTTTGAGAGTTCTGCTAGTCAAGGTAGTATGTTGTCTTAGAAATCCATGAGTCCTCTGACTTCTATGACATGATCTTAATGCTCTGTCTGGTGGGGGTTTAGAGGCCTACATAGACCATTGTGCTCTAAGAGTTGAGTCTGAAGGATTTGAATGAAGGATGGTGGGTGAAGAGCTAACTGAGGGTCACTGTCTTTCTCAGGCAGAAGAGGAGCGTGATGACATGGAGAGAGTCAAACTGGAAAACAAGAGGATCCTCTTCAATCTCTTGCCAGCCCACGTAGCCCAGCACTTCCTCATGTCAAATCCCAGGAACATGGTGAGTGCTGGCCTCGGCTCCTGCCCCAAGCTCTGGCATAAGAGTCACATCAAGTGCTGCTTCTTTGAGTGGCGGCAGAGCTGTGGTTGGAAGGCCAGTATGCAGTTTCTCTTGTAGCTTCTCTCTGCTGCACCTTGGTAAGCTGGCTCTCTCTGAACCTTCAATTGCTCATGGTTGAGCGTATTCCTATCCTTTCCTGGGCTTCTTGCTGGTTTGGAAGGGCAGGGCTGAGCTGGGCAAGAAGGACACTCCCAGGAGGTGAGATTGACAGCAATGGAACTAATTGTATCTCATCTTTGAGTACATAGGAGAAAAAGCAATATTTATCATCCTCTGAGGAAGGAAATGCATTTTGATAAACCATAGCTGTGTATAGAATAAGTACTTTACTTCAAAAGTCTGAATACAGAGTTGAATTTCTCTTCTCCTGTAGATAATTTTTGCAAAAGTGTACCTTAAACAGTAGCATTACCTAGGCGTGTAATGATTTGCTGGCACATCATCTCCCAGTGTTTTATATAGTAACTTCGTAGCCTTCTACTATTGCAGCAAAGAGCTGCTGCTGACTGTGGTACAAAGAAGATGCTGAAATAACTGATATAAACACAAAAAGATTTAGATCCTATTTTATGTCCTTAAAGACACAAATGAAAACCCTAACCCTCAGCTTAAACTACTTTGGACTTACCTATTTCTCAGATCAAATATTTAACTTAGTCGCACTTCAGGACATGCAGAACTTTTCTAACATCACATCTGTTCCCACTGCCACCCCCTTACTTGCTAGGTACAGGACAGTAGAGGGCCTTTGTGGTCACAGCTGAGTTTTGTTCCACAGTTGTTGACTGTGTAACACGGAGCAAGTTGTAGAACCTCTCAGAACCAACTCTTTATCTATGAAATGGAGTTATAACTCCTCCTGTAGCAATGTGTGATAGTGCCAGTGTCCTAGGGGAAAAGACCCCAGATCCAAACATTCTACGGAGACCATTCTATGAAGCCTTAAACAGGACAAAGACAGGCACATAGGGTGGAGGCAGGGAACCACAAGCATGTGCCTGTGCAGAGGTCGATAATATCCACTGGCTCGTAGCCATGAGGTTCATTATATATGACTGGGACAAAGATAATCATGACTGGTGGCATGTCACAGACAGGACTATAGAGGTAAGGGAAGAACCATCATTGGAATCAATACAAGAGCACAGGCTGAAAAGCTTCCAAGGTCAGTTCTAAGGATCTGATGCCTTGGCTAAGTGAGAAGTTGTGACCATGTGGTCCTGAGCCACAGCTACAGGTGCCATAAGACAGTGCCAGGACCCTAACTTCTAGATAAAAGGCCACTATGTTTTGGTGAATCTTTAAGAACTTGCCAAGTAAGTTCACTAGCAGCTTGAGTAAGCCTACAGGCAAACTACCATCTCTCTGAGCTTACCCCTGACTTATCTAAATATTGCCTTATAACAATCTTATTGCTAATTTAATGGTCCAAAATCAGGGGGGAATAAAAAAGATCTCAAATGGCATCTGAATATATGTCAGCAGTCAATACTCAAAGTGCAGCCAGGGCTCCACAGGTCTGAGAATTCCAGCTCTGGTGCATGGTGAGAGCTTCTGGGGGCTTGGTGGTAAGTGATCCTCTTTCTTGGCTGGCCCTCCTGTCTGCAGTTGCTGATGGCACTTACTCCATTGTTTGACCCATCCAGGACCTCTACTACCAGTCGTACTCACAAGTTGGTGTCATGTTTGCTTCCATTCCCAATTTCAATGACTTCTACATTGAACTAGATGGCAACAACATGGGGGTAGAATGCCTGCGCCTCCTGAACGAGATTATCGCAGACGTCGATGAGGTAATGTCCACACTCCCTTGTCCCAAATCTCGTTTGCTCCTAAGTTATCTGTCTATGGGACCTGTGTAAGTTAAGTAGATGCTCTTTTACCTGAAAGAGTCTTGTATGTATCTGGAAAGATAGAATCCGCTTTCTAGGTGGGATTAGGGAGAGTGCATAGTGGGAATACCGCCCTTCTGTCTTTGAAGAACCACACTAATCCTGACAAGCAGCCATTATTTGCCTTACAAGGTGGGAGGAAGCCTTCAAATGCTCAGCTACATGCTGAGGCTCCTCTGCCTTCTGGTGATCACACATAGAATAGTGAAAGTCTACGTTGCCATCAGCTGACTTGGCCTGGGATGCTTTGGGTCTTGTCAGCCCTGGCTTCATTTGTGACAGGATCATAGATATTCCCTGAAAAATCTCTAGTGCATCTGTAAAAAAGCAGGCTATCTGTGCCAAGTCTGTGCCTTTCGGTTCAATACTAAACTCATCCAGTGCCCCAAAACAGAAGAGGATTGCTTTTCAAGATGTACTTGTCCCTCTGTTATTGCTCATTGGTGGCTTGAAACTGTGGTGACTGTCTAAAATGTTATGTAATGTTGAACAGTTTTATGTTTTAAACAAAGCTCATGGAGAAAGACTTTTATAAGGACTTAGAGAAGATAAAGACGATTGGGAGCACGTACATGGCGGCTGTGGGACTGGTGCCCACAACAGAGGCCAAGGTGAGTGCTGTGGGACAGCCTGAGTGCTGAGTTCTGGTTCTCAGTTTTTTCTGTTATGTGACATCATACCCTATCTCTCCATTTCACCTCCAGGCCTGAGTCTGCTTCCTGGATGAGTTAGGGAGGGACTTGCTGTTTGGGGGGCGCTTTCTTCAGGTCTTCTGCTACAGAAACTCAGCCCAGATGTCAATCACAGAAAACTTCCTTTGACCCCTATCCTTCAGCTCTTGCTTGTGGGTTCTCATTATCTATACACAGGACACACACACACACCCCCCAACATCCATCTGAGCTCAGTGTCCTTTGAGTTTCTACAGTGTGCTTCCAGACCTAACAACTTGGCTGGCACAAACACAGCTGGGTGAGGAGGGCAACCGAACAGACAGATTTGAGAATACCTATCTCCAGTCACACTGCCCACTCGCGCCCCCGGCCTCTGGCCCTGCCCCTGCCCACTGAGCAGCCCTCTTTCTTTGCTCATAGTTTCTAGTTTTAGCACTACTTAATACAGCGCTGGCAGTTCAGGATTTGGCATTCCGAGCAGGTGAGCAGCACAGGTGATGGCTTCACAGGAGAGGGGCCATGTCTCTCCCACTTCTTCTAAGTCAGCTGTTAGGCAATGAGACCCTTTGATAGGCTTTAAGTCAGTGCCTTTCCTGTGGGGCCCTGCTTTGTGCACAATTACATGGGGGACGGAGCACATCCCCTTCTCTTGCAGAATCACCCTGTCTCTAAGGTTCAGTCACCTTAGTTGCTCATCCTCAGATGTTGGCGGCTTGGCTTACACTTGGCTTCTAAGCGACAACAGGCCATCTACCAGGTGCACAGATCATGGGCTGTGGGCACAGAGACTCTACTCACACAAATCATAGGGGGCTTCATATAAGTGTTGGGGAGTATGCAGTGACCGTAAGAGTCCCAAAAATGTGCCAAATGACAGCCAGCTTGGGTGGCTCAGTGCAGGCCCAGCAGGCAAGAGGGGTGGATATGGGGAAGGCAGCAGTCCAGGCCCTCAGTCCCAGCTTCCACCAGGTCCCACCCACCACAAGGTCCCAATTACCACCAGGTCCCAGTTGCTACCTGGCCTCAGCCACCATGAGCACCATTGTAATAAAATACCACAAATGGAGGAGGAATTATCACAACAGACATTTAGTGTATTGGAGATGTAGAGACCAGGAATCCAAGATTCAGTTGGTCAGGATGACCTATCTCTGGAGGCTGAAGGGAAGAGTCTTTTCACTTGTTTTGACACTAGAGAGGCCTGTTCTAGGGCAGCACTCCTGGAAGGTGAGCCCTCACCTCTGCCCTGTGTGCACTTGCACTCCTAGCTCAGATATAGAGCAGGCAACTAAGTTGTTTATTGAGATCTCTCATCTTCCACTCAAGGCAGCCCCTCACATATCTCTGAGGACTCTTCCCGTGAGTGTAGTATGAGAACCTGGTGGAGAATATGTGATCATTCCAATTTGGAAGACTAGCAAACTTTCCCCAAAGGAGACCAACCATAAAATGATCATCTTATTTTTAAAATAAAGAATTATACAACTTTTACCAGAGGAGAGAAGGACTTGTTAACCCCTCTGTCTTCTCCTCCTGCCCCAAGACAAATCTCAGCCTGAAGGCTGCTCTTCAGGCACGCCCTGGCCCATGTATCATCCCCTTGTGCTGTGGCCTAGGGACAACTGTGCACCCAGAGCAAACTCGAGCCTCCTGGCCTGGACTGCCACCTACCCTGGCCACTCCAGTCCATCCGAGGATGGGATATGCATAAGGAGGGGTGGGGTGCACCCAGGGCAAGCTTGAGCCTTCAGATCTGCTCCTCATCTGGATGGTCACAGGGACCCTGGGCCTCATGGTGAAAAACCATCCCCAGAGGATCTCTTGTTGTCTCCAGATCTAAACATCTAATCTGTTCCATTCAGGCTAAGAAGTCCATCACCTCCCACCTCAGTATACTTGCAGACTTTGCCATCGAGATGTTTGATGTCCTGGATGAAATAAACTATCAGTCTTACAATGACTTTGTCCTCCGTGTGGGTAAGATATGGTTCTGACCTTTCTGGCACCTTATCTCCCCACCCATCACCCAAGTTTAAGCTCTTAAAGTCCAGGTAGGACCAAAAGGAGCAAGGCCATGGCAGGAAGAGAGAGGAGTGGTGTCCTGAGGAAAAAGTGGATGTAGCAACAAGACCTCAAAGGTCGTTTCTCCTCTGAAACTCAGTGTGTAAAGGAAGATACTTTGGCACCATGAGACCAGTTAGAAATCTCCAAGGCTTCTCAGACACTTTAGGTGCACCCCTGATTGCGTCTTGACTGGAGAAGATCGTTCTTCCCTGAATGCAGCTGCAGGCATCAAGACATAGAAGTAGTGGGCAGTCTCAGAAGAGACAGAGGCAAGGGGGGTGGGCACAGCTGTGTGGGCTTGGGCTCTTTTCCTTTCCTGCAAAATAAAGAGGGAAATTATGGCAAGAAGCTGGGCTGCAATCCCAAAGACACAGGGTTCAAATCCACCAGTTGTTCCATGGGAGAAGGATGAGCAATCTCCTCTTGTGCAAGTAACTGCCTCTGAAAACCCACTGGAGGGTCAGCTGTGGTTCAATTCTGGCTCAATTGTACTCAACAACAGCAACAGTTCCTTTATAGCTTTTGAAAAACTGTATACAAATAGTTCCTAAAACACTAGCTATATATTTACCTTTCTTCTGGGCTGCAGAAAATATATCAGAAAAAAAATCAAAACTGCTAGCTAAAGCAAGAGAGCTCTCTGGTGATCTAGTAAGGGCTTGCACTGCTAACCCAATGACACCCAGTTTTAATCCACCAGCTGCTCCAAGAGAAGAAGCTAGGCAATTCTCTCCCATGTGATTTATTGCCTCTGAAAACCCACTGGAGGGTCAGGTAAAATGGTATATACCAACAACAATTTAAAAAACAATTAAACTAGAGATTAATGAAGCATTTCCCCACCTTTGTCATAGAATTCAAACATCTAGTGACTGTAAAACAAAACAACAAACCACAAAACACTTAGAACCCCTAGTAGCAAACCCATAGCTGCAGATAGGAGTTGTTCCAGTTCAAATCATTGAGAACTTCTATGCTCCTTAGAAGGATGTGCTGCCTGAAGGCAATGCCCAGTGCCTCACTTCCAAAGTGCTGCCCCTTTGGCCCAGGGCCCTGACCAACAGATGTCCTAATCTGATTAGATAAGGTCCAGCAGGGCCTTATATACCAGTTGCAGCTAAATTGATGACCATTCATGATGACTGCATGTATGCCTCATAGGAGTATCAATGACTGCTGATTTGAAAGCAGACCTTTGGACCTTTCTTCTGGAGTGCCTCCCAGTGGCCTAAAGGTTCCTCCAGCTTTCTGGTTAGCAGCCAAGTATGTTAGCAGTCTCAGAGACATCCCTTTGACACAGTCCTATGTGTTACAGGCTTTCATATATCTCATTCAAAGCTATAGCAATCAAAGCCTAAAGAGGCCAGTACTTTGTTGAAGGTCACCAAGGTGAACTTGGGTCCACATGATGGTATCTAGTACTGTAGGATAGCTGTCCAGACCCCTGCCCTAGAGATATGACTAAAGAATCAGTAGCCACAACTATTCTGAAATTGTTGTTGTGTATCATTTAGTCGGAACTGACCCATAGCTGACCCTCAAATGATTTTTTTAGAGGCAATAAATCACATGAGAGGAGATTACCCATCTTTCTTCCATGGAACAACTGGTGGATTCAAACTGCATATGTTTGGGATGATAGCACAGCTTCTTAAGAGTAGGCTATGAGAACTTCTGGTATTGAGAAGGTTCTGAAATTGAAGTGATGTACAATTGTTGTCATTCATATTGGGTGATCGACACTTCTGAGGACCTGCAAGGACAGGACTGAACTCCAAGACTGAGTTGGGGAGTTCTTGGAGTCAGGCCTTGTTTCAAGATTAGGAATACTCTCCAGCAGTCAGCCTGCCCCACAGCAGTATTTCTAATAATGGGAGAGAAAACTCTAATGAGCTATGGGCCTGCAGAGGTCTAGCTTCATGTAGTGCTGTGGATGTCCATACTACAGAAGGAGGGCTAGATAAGCTAGCTGCCTCACCTCAGGGCCTTGGAATAGTACTTTATCCCCTAGAGAATAGTGTCTAGGGCTGGGTGCCCTGGGTTTGTGATATTGCAAGCTCCATATTCTTAGCTAACACACTCCACTGTCACTCTGCAGGTATCAACGTTGGCCCTGTGGTGGCTGGGGTGATTGGAGCTCGGAGGCCTCAGTATGACATCTGGGGCAACACAGTCAATGTGGCCAGCCGCATGGATAGCACCGGAGTCCAGGGCAAGATTCAGGTCAGTTCAACCAGAGAGCTTGAAGGCAGAGGTGCCCTTTTCACAGATGAACATGGTGAAGCCCAAGAGGTAAACTGGCATACCTACAATCACAAGGCCAGTGAGGAGTAGGCAGCTCTAACTGCATCTCTACTACATGTCCTTGCCCAGGCAGGCTTGGGAGACTTTCAGGTGTTTATCTGAGTGGACCTACTATGAGAGTGGGGCATAATGTAGTTTGCTGTTTGATTGATCATTCCATATGAGTAGCTGTGGTTTTGGGACTGGCCTATGAGTGACATGTGTACATTTGTTGTCTCTGTGACCCCAGATTTGCCCACTTAATGTGTACATTATTGGGGTGGGGGGAGATCATCACGGCCTAGGGATGTCCTGGAGACAACTCATGTATTTTGGTGCAGGATAGGACAGGGTTCCAATCTGTTTTCCATAGGGTCCTTTGCCTACTCAATGGCACTTAATGGCAGTATGTTAGTGAGCAGTATGCATAGCAGGGTCCTGACCCCTGCTCCGTCATACTCCCTATCGTTCTCAGTGCCTTCTGGTCAGCTTCCTAGCTGCTGTAGGAGAGTGGGCTTCCTTCATAGTTTCCATTATGATTCCAAGGTGGAGAAGGTGGTGGGCAGATGCCACAGAAAGCCTTGGGCCATGCCCCTGTGCTTGCCGAGGCCTGGCAGAGACAAGGGAAAGGAGACATAAGGATTGGATTTATCCATGAAAGGCCATTATTTGGTCTAAAAGGGCCACTTATAAAGGTCAATGGTTTGGAAAATGTGCCTAGAGCCCCAGGTCCTTATCAGTCTACTTGTATACCAGAATCAGGGTCTGTTTGTCTAATCACAAGCCCCTGATAAATGAGACACAAGTAAAGTCTTCTCCACAACTTCCAGGTTGTGTGACGTTTCAGGGAGAAAAAGCCTGGAAAAGATCTCAAACAGCCAAGGGCCTTCATCCTGCCTTGACCACGTACCCCTATGCCCTCGACTAGGAACTGTTCCTTCTTTGTCACTAGTGTTTTCTGCAAGCTAGTTCAGCGCCAACTTTTCCAACATTGAAAACATTTCGGCCTCCCTCATCATGTTTCCAGATCCCAACGTTTGTTTCTTTCCATGCCTCAGTGTCTACAGGTTCTTATGCTGAGAATGCTGAGAACTTCCCATTCATTTGCCTTCTGAATCTGATTTCTTTTGCAAAAATCCCAACATACGTTTCTGATCTTAGACATACTCTCAAGTCCTGTGCCTCTCTGTCTTTCAGCGACATAGCACTTATAGTTACAGTGAGGCCACACACTACTACAGAACTTAGCTCCATCCACTGATTCCATTTGGGCTGATTGCTTTCTCAGGGCCTGTCCCTGCCATGTCCTATCTGTCACGGTTGTGGCATGAAATAGAGAAAAGTTTGAAATTGTCAAGGATTCATTTTGCTTGGATGCATAATCAGCAGTCATGGAAACAACAGTTAAGAAATAAATTACATTGTTTTTTGCACTTTGTAAGTAAACTATTATAAAATAATTTAAAAAAAAAAGTCAGTTACCTGGAATTTTCCGCAAAACCAGGACCCTAAACCTCTAAATTAAGAAATCAAATCCCTTAATACTTTTTATAGTAGATAGATACATATTTCTTCTTGGGTTGTTACAAATATATCTATGATTTAAAGAAAAAAGAAATCAAATGACATATTATACTGGAAAAATTTGCTGTCAGTGGCTTCTTTAAAGTACTAAATGGAAAAGTTGCCACTTTAAAGATTAAGGCATGCCTGATATAAACCATGATATTTCTTTCTTTTTCTTTTTTTATTAACTCATGATATTTCAATTGCTTCAAATGCATATGAAGAGTTGGAAAATGAACAATGAAGACTGAATTGGGCTTGATGATTTGAATTGTTATTGGCTTAGAGTACTGAATATAGCATAGGCTGCTGAAAGAACAAATACATCTATCTGGAGATAGTGCAGCCAGAATGCTTCTTAGCAGCTAGGATGGCAAAAATTTACTTACATGCTTTGACCCTGTTTTTAAAAGATATCACACAGGGTAGAGCGCAAAGTCAGTGGAAAATGTACGGTTGCTTACACACAGCAACACTTGTGAGGGTGGCACAAGACCAGGTGATGTTCTGTACTTTAGACTTAGCTACTATGAATTGGAACAAGAGAAAGATAGGCAGTCTCCTCACATGCAATTTATAGCCTCTGCACATGTGCTGAAGGGTGGCTAAGAAATAAATCAATGTTTTGAACTCACTGGAAATGAGAGTGAGTTTTATGACTCATAAACAGGTGGATCATGCCTGACGTGTGTATTATTCATTAATTTTCACAACATATGAGTGTTCTAATTAATTACTATTCTGGTTGTTCTGCTTCCTTTAGTCAATTTTTCCTGACCCCCTACCCCCACCCTACCCTTCACTTTTCTTTTTTGTCATGTATGAAAGTATCGGTGAGGGTTTTTTTTAAGTAAATTTTTCTTTTTTGCTGGTTAATTTACAAAGTTCATATACATAATTTTTCATACCTACCACTGAACATACTGAGTCACTGTATCAAAAGGAATTGGCAGACACAGAAGAATTTCATGAAATAACATATGAGCAAGAGCTTATGGAGATGAAGGAAGAAGTTCAAGCTGCTTTGAAGGAATTAGCAAAAAAAATAAGGCACCAGGAACAGATGATATACCAATTGACATATTTCAACTAAGAGGTGCTACCCTGGATGTGCTCACCAAGTTGTGCCAAGAAATCAGGAGAACACCACTTGGCCAACCGACTGGAAGAGATCTTTATTTGTTCCCATTTCAAAGAAGGGCGACCTAACAGAGTGTGCAAATTATAGAACAATATCGCTGATATCATATGCAAGCAAGATTCTGCTGAAGATTATCAATAAATGACTTGAACCATGCAGTGTTTCCTTGCTTTGTTCTGAGAACCTGACGACTGACCCCAGGTCCAAGTATAGGTTTCACATTAGCAAGATCAAGTGTTCTGGGATTACCATTCTTCTCAGAGTCAGCCACAGTTTGTTGTGATCCACACAGTCAAACACCTTTGCATAATCAATGAAACACAGACAGACATTCCTCCGGTATTCCCTGCTTTCAGCCAAGATCCATCTAACATTAGCTACAATATCCCTACTACCATGACCCCCTTCTAAACTAAGCCTGGGCTTCTGGCAGTTCTCTGCTGATGTGCTGTTCCAGTCATTTATTGATAATCTTCAGCAGAATGAAACTGGAGATTGCCTTTTCCATCTCATTGAAGAATGGGATTGGTATTTGTATTGGGATTGCATTAAATGTGTAAATTGCCTTTAGTAGTATTGCCATTTTCACAATATTGAGTCTTCCTATCCTTGAGCAAGGGATATTCTTTCACTTCTCCAGGTCTCTTTTTGTTTCTTGCAGTAATGTTTTGTGAGAAGGGTTATCCTGGTGGAGGGTGGAGCTTGGTAGTAAGTGGGTCAAGGCACTGGGCTAAGAGGGGGGTCAACACTTTAACTAACGCTTACCCCCACAATAAGGGATTTATCTTTAACTGCTCCACAAATTGCTGTCTGTCAGATACTCCTCTAAATCTGAACATTCAGACCAAGACAGACTAGG